TAATACTAATTAAAATATATTATCACTTCTCAGTGAACCACTAGCTGAGTACATCGCTTACGCACTATATCTCTAAATGATATAAGGTATATTTGACGTTACGGTTCAAAAAATATATATACAAAGCAAAACAACTTTTCGGAATGATCAAAAGCTTGTGCATGAATTATTATCATTATAAGAGATCGAACAGCCGTTTTTTTTTTTTTAAAAAAAAAACGACTATCTAAACCTAAAATTAGGTTTAGCCGATTTTTTCATAATTGGCCAGAATCACTACAAGCCATCATTAATTTCTCGAAATCGGTTTTTCTGGAAGAGCATGACGACGAGGAGGTTGGTCCCGTGAGTCTCGTTGATCATTGATTCGTACTTTTTTAGAATGTGAAGTATCCGGAGTTCGACTATTTCTCTTTTTAGATCTACGATCCTTTTTATTTTGACGATAGCCATCCTGAGTTGAATTACTGCCTCTGGCAGATTCTTCATCATTCCTATTAGCTACTTCGCGTTCTTTCTTTTGAGGTTTTCGATGATGATATTCATGACTCGAATCATATGTTGGTAAACTAATTTTTATTAGGAAGAATATATATTAGCAATTCAAATAATTTAAAATATATATAATCGAGATTTAAATAATTTTAAAGTAAGGATAAAGATTACAAACTTTTTAGGATCAGCCGGTAAAGGTTCAGTAAAGAAATAATCATGGTCCAATGCTTGAAAAGCATTTAGACGATCTTTGGGATTGCAAATAAGTATTTTATCTAATAAATCGGCAGCATGCGGACCGAACCTATTAAAAACAAAAGATTTAATCACACTCCAAATTTATATAAATAAATATATAAACTAATAATACAATAATAAGACTACTAACTTTTCGAATTCAGATACAACTCTCCTAGGGTATTTATTCGGTACAATCTCCATACCATTTGATAAAGTAGTATAACCTTCCCAAGTTGCTTCAGTGGGAGTTCCACATAATTTATATATTTGATCCAACTGGTCTTGATCAGAACGACCAGGAAGAAT